CCAGGTTGAGGCCAAGTCTAAGACTATGTCTAACTTTTAGTCTAAAGGAAAATTTTAGTGGAAAATGAAGACCAATTCAAAGGCAAAATCTGTGACGAAGTTAAGGTTAAAACCTAAGGACTAGTTTATGGTTAAGTTTAATGCCACTTACAAGATCACGTTAAATTCTGAGTCTAGAGCCACCGTGAGGTTTGGTTAATTCCAGCTGTAAGGCCCGGTAAAACGCCATTTCTAAGGCTTACTCTTGGGTCTGCTCTAGTGGTAAGTCTAACGTCCAGTAAAAGCCCGGAGTAAGGCTATATCTACAGCCAAGTTAATGCCAAGTTTCATTTATGATAAGACTCTAGTTTATAGACAACTCTATGGCAAAGCTTGAGGCCAGCTGTAAGGCCTAGTGTAACTACGAGTTAATTTCAAGATGAGGGTAAGCTTAATCGAAAGTATAATATCAAGTTTGAAGCCACATCTAAGGCGAGGCCATGGACATGCTTACGTCCAAGTCTAACGCCAAGTTAAGGTCATGTCTTGGGGTCAGTTATAGGGCCATATTTTAACTTGTGTCTAAGGTTTCATCTAAAACCATGTTCACAGCGGCAAAAACTTAAATTCGAGTCTAAGTCCAAGTCTAAGGCAAAGTCTAATGCTAAGTCTAAAACCAAATTAAGACAATGTATAGACCAAGCATAAGGTCAATTCTAAAGAGAAGCAGCGGCCAACTCTAAGATCATGTCTAAGGCTTAGACAAAGGCCAAGTCCAAGGCCAGGCTGAGGCTACCTACATTCCGGAATGCAGATATTCGAGAGAGAGAGAGAGAGAGAGAGAGAGAGAGAGAGAAAGACTTGGTGTATAATAGTTGTTTCTCCAGATAGAGAAGTGACCACTGCGATGATTTGGATACATGTTTCCAATGCCTCCAGAAAGAAAGGCGAACGGCTACTGCAGTCTCGACCGACAGGCTGCAGACCCTGTGAACGGCCAAGACTTACCTGGCACGAGTATCTTATCTTGACAGACTCTGCTTTAGGTACAGGTTATCTTTGGCGGGGGCCCAAATTCTGGCACAGGATCAGGAACTTTGAAGACACCGTTTCACGCAGCTGCCTCGTCCACCCGAATGGATAAGCGGCCAGTAAAACTGACTGACTCATGATGCATTAAACTGATATTTCAATGGTTCTCGACGCAGCCGAGAACTTCCGATGTTTCAACGGAACAAAATTGGCTTTCAGCAATGAGACAATGAGATAGAGAAAGCCAAGAGGCCGCTTCCAAAGTGAGGACGTGGCTTTTATCACAGTATCAGAGAAATTTCATTGAAGCTGCTAAAAAATCGGGTCCGAGACATCAATTCCTGCCTTGCTTCCAAGGCTTTTCAAAAGAAATGCAGGCAATATTGTAACATCTGCTCAGGCGATCAAACAATGACTCTGGACTTCAAAACGCTGAGGCAATTATGGAAAGAAACAAAACAATAGAGTTTCATCCCTCCGTTTCTTAGTGAACTCATAATTAATGTTAGTGGCTGCTATGAAATTAAAGTTTATCGTAAACATGTTAGCTTGCAATTGTAACTTCCATCATAATCAGACAGTCAATAAATGGGCAGTAGATGCGGCTTCAATGAAGAGAGTTTTGAAACTTTGCAATAAATAATTTCTTGAAAAGGTAATAAAACATAAAACGAACCAACGCTGTGTAATTACAATAATCGTTATCTCGTTAAATTTGTCAAATATATTATGAACCGCAGAGTAACGAACTGCAAATTGAATCGTAGCATTAGTAAAGGAAAAAGCTAGTAATTCCTGGAATGTAGGTCTTCATTATACTTTCATGATTATGCCATTTTGACGCCTTTTTTTCACGAAGTTAATAATGCGGCACATCTCCACCTCCATGCCATTTTCCAAGAGTACTTTATTTTCAAGGCAGAAGGTGTAGCCATGTTTTGCGCATAGCGTGTGGTTCTCTGCTTCGTTCCCATGAGTGACACTCATTTATAAGCTTCGGAAAGAAGAAAATGGAAAATGCCCACTGGGCTTGAATCTTGGATCTTTCGGTTCTGGATCTGATGCTCTGCTGACTGAACATCAGCAACATCAAGAATAATGGTAACCATGAGTTACTGGTTTTATTTTGCACTCGTAACCTCAGTGAAACGTTACAAAGGTTACTAGGTACTAAATAGAATATTAATTCAATATATAAAGGTCCTTCTGAACTCATTTATGCAATGAGTATTTAGGAAAGTGACTACCCTGTACAGTGAATAAGTAAATTTACCGCCTCAGTTTAGAATCATCACGCAAGAAAGACATGGTCACTATCAAGTAAAGGTGAAAGACGCATCTGTCAAGCTGAAGGGGCAGATGATAGACAGCGATTTAATTTGTTCATCTACAAGAGTAATTGGTATTTATTTAGACCGGTCTAGAAGTAATTTGTAATTAACAACTTCCGTTCTTTGTAATTAATTACATTTTTTCCTTCAGTTCGTTTCCAATTAACTGCTGTAATTAAATTCTTGATTCACATGAACGCATATATAGCATGCGACGCAATATTCGAATATTCTGGTCTCGCTGTCGCTTAATTGACAGCAGCTAACGGCTCAGGTGTTCTATGATTTGATTGGATGTTTCAAACGGACGAGTCTCCGAAATGGAAGGCCGCGTGATAACGTAATAGCATCTTTGAGGGCATAGATTTGTGCCGGCTTCGCTACCCGATGTAAAAGATTGACTTAATTAATTTTCATGAAAAGGGTGGCTAGCACTGTACAACAGCGACTGAGTGAGCTGTCAGATATATGTGAGGTTATTCTTGAAATGGAAGCGAAACTCGATCTCCGCTGGACAGCGTACAACGGTGATGTCTCATCCTGCAGCCTGAATCTCAACCGGAATGAAGGGTGAAAGTTCTTTCCACGAAATCGCAAAAGAAGTATCTGTAGAAGTGACTCCCTGTATGAATATGACATCGCTTTTTATATAGTTATATGTTGATTCCAAAAAATCAAGTATGATCCGAAACGTCAGAAGTGTTTGAATGCGAAATTGATTCATCTTTCATAGCCATTCAAGATTTATTATTAGTGGTAGACGTCCAGGGCTGAATTCTCAAGACAGAGTGAAGTACAACAGGGAGCATAGTTGTGATCTTCCTTGATAGCTATGAGGAATGTCTTTAACCTGGAAGTGGA